AAATAAAAGCAAAAAGAAAGATAAAAAGATTTACGTTGTTTGACAAGATATCTATATTCATAGACTAAAAAAAAATGAGAATGTTCATTAATAAGAAGTATTATGAATTGAACTTCATAAATCAATATTAAAAATTTGCAAACACGCAATAAAGTAAGGTATTCAAGATTAAAATTTAGAGATTTCCTAATATAAAAATAAATGTAAATAAAGTCATTATTAATAAATGTAACTATGTTAACTTTCCCTAAAATTTGGTAGGTTAGAGAGAGAAAAAACTAGAGATTGTAAACCTCTTAGGGACCGCCAAAAGTATTTTTTTTTAAGTGAAAAATGTAATCCTTCTAATATTGGACGTACTGGAGTAGAAAAGGAAAAGTTTCACATAAGTAATTAAAAAGGTAACACTTTTTTTTTTTTTTTAATTACAAATCCTCTCTCTCTCTCTCCAGCTCTCTCTCACGCGCTCAGTGAACTAGCAGAATAAAGGACTCTCTAAAGTGGAATTCAACACAAAAAATAGCCCACGAGTTTATTTTAAATTTAGCTACAGCTTAAGTATTCTAGTAAGTTCCTCTATGTATTCTGCTAGAATATTATTTCGAGTCTTTCCAATTCAAATATTCTTCTATTTTTCTGATTCATCGTCATCACTGTATGCACAACTTCAAACCCACAATAAATGAATTTACAATAATTTCAAATTCTTTCTGAATTAATGAATAAGATTAACAATTAAAAAAGAAACAATCAAAGTACTCAAAGCATGGAAGAAGAATAATTACAATGTTGACCAACCTTTCTTTGTGACATTACTAACAAAAAAAATTCCACGAGTTATAAGCATATAAACTGATTGTATATACTACCAACCCACAAGTGACCATATTTTTATGATTCACTTTAACATGGCTGATTAGAAAGAACAACCCACCTCGTACAGCCACAAAGAAATACCTATGAAATGAAGCAATTAAAGGAGAACGTACGCACTATTACTTTTGTTAGGAAAAATATGGATAATATAAAGAAGAAAAATAACTTATAGAAGAACAAAGAAACGAAATTGTACCACACTAATTCAATCTTTCTACCAAACTCAGAAATGAAATTGCAAAGATGTCGAGGCACGTGAATCACGCTTTCTTTAAAACAGATTCGTCTCTTCGGCGAGTGCTTGAGGTAATGATGGACGTCCGTCTCCCAGGATATAACGACAACGACGGTAGCTCGAAGCACTATCGGAACCGTCTGGCGAACTAGAACACGTGAGAGAAGAGGAAAAGAAGAGGAAGAACACGTGAGAGAAGTGAAGAGTGTGTTTCTGTGCAAGTGAGCTCCTTCTTCATGTGGTAGACGCCTTATATAGGCTCTTGGAAAAATAGTTATGAGACCAGGAATTAAAGGTCTTAATCACACATTTTAATTGTGCAAAAACGTTTCCTTTCACTAAGGTGAACCCGGCCACAATACATATCTAGGTTCATGGAAAAACTAATGTAATAACTAGCTTTTAACATCACAATTAAGCTCAGAAGCTCGGCATTAAGCACACCATTAAGCCCCTTTTAATCACCATTGTGCTCATTTACCAGCCATTATGCACGACATTAAGCTTAGGCTGAAAGTCTGGAAAAATCTTGGCCGAATCAAAAATAAATATTGCAAAAGTAAGCTCGCACGGAGTGGATTTTTCAGTCTGGTATTCGTGTCTGCACACATTAGCCCCCTAACCCGCCGGGACCGTGATTCGCACCCCTCTGCGCGTGAGAGAGCCTCTCTGGTATACATGCTTATCTAGACTTCAAAGTACAATCACTTATAAACACCACTAAAACTTCATTCTTAACAAATATGAGATTTTTTGTAATTTCCATCTATATTTACCAACAAGCCATTTGCCAACAACTTTAACATTATGTTTGATTTGAGGGAGAGACGGAGAGAGAAGGTTAGAGGGAAAAGTGAAAGGAGAGGAAAGACAGAGAGATGTATTCTCTAGGGCCGGCAATATGGGTCACGACACGACTCGAAAATGACATAAATTTTACGGGTTAGGGTTGAGAAAAAAGAGGTTCGGGTCAGAATTGGGTCGACCTGAAATTGACACGAAAAACACGGGTCAATTTCGGGTTAGACCCGCCTAACCCGAACACGACACGAAACTCGTAAAAAATAAAAAAAACACATATTTTTCATTTCATATTTTAAATTTTATTATGAACTTGTGATATTATGATAGTTATACTCAAAATCTTATACTATTATTTGTTTAATTTCAATGGATGTTATTATAATTTAGTGTGTTATGAATTTTAAGTTATTTTTAATATGTAAAAAACTAAATAAAAGTATACAATTTTCATGTCAATTTCGGGTTCATGGGTCAATTTCGTGTCACGGGTCATTTTCAGGTCGTGTCGTGTCAATTCGTAAAATGGTCGTGTCGTGTTCGTGTTGCGGTTTATAAAAAATTTCGTGTCACGGATCGTGTTCGGATTAACTGTAAATTTAGAAAAAAACGATCAAAACACGACACGTGACACAAATTGTCACCCATAATATTCTCCTTCTTAATCCATCAACTTTTATTTAAAAGACTATTTTTTCATTTTAAAAAATTATTAAAAATTATATAAACAGACAATAAATATTACATAAATAACTTCATTCATCTCTTCGAATTCTCTCTCTTATTAAACAATATAAAAGATTATTGTAATTCCTTCTGTCTATTTTACTCTTAATTCTTACAACTCTCTCCATTGTTCTTGCCTTTTATTTTCCTATCAAACAGAGTGTAAGTGTTGTGCACGGCTTCTAATTTCCCAATGTGCAAGGAATGGCCTCCGATGTCGCAACTCTCTCCTCTATCTGGAGAGAGAGAGAAAGTGAGAGAACGAGAGATCTCTAGAGAGAGAAAGAAAGTGAGAGAACGAGAGATCTCTAGAGAGAGAAAGAAAGTGAGAGAGCGGTAAAGAGAAGAGAGAGAGTGAGAGCGAGAGAGATGGTGCGCCAAAGAGAGAGAGAGAAGAGAAAGAATGAGAGTGAGAGAGATCGTGTGCAGAAGAGAGAGATGAAAGTGAGAGAGAGTGAGAGAGAGATTGTGTGAGAGAAGATTGAGAAAAATAAAAAAATAATAATAAAAGTGGTATCAAATATTTTATTAATGGCATAAATAATTGGATTGTGAAAAATCATGGTAATTCTCGAGATTTTCTCATTAGAAGAACTCCTGAAATATTTGAAAATACTATTCTAACCTTGATCTTTTTTTTTTTTTTCCTTATTGGGTTGCAAATATGTAAATTTTTAAGTTTTCTATCATCTTGATAGTTCTCGTTTACCACCTCTGTATTGCATTATATAATGTGGATACAGACTATACTTATTTAATCATACATACGATAGTTTATATTATGTAATTATATATATATATATATAACGCAAACATTTATATTTTGAGTTGTTTTATTGAATGTTTAGACGTGTTTAAAACTCGTTCTAAAATAATTTTGTTCTTTGTATGAAAATGAAAATAAAAATATTTTCAATATCAGACATAAATTATTTTTTAAATACGTTTGGTAGTTTAATTAATAGATTATTTTTAGTGTAAAAAAACCCATTAATGTCTTTCTTTCTCACTCTATACTCAAGAGAAGAGAAAAAAAATGAAAAACGACTAAAAGTCATTTTTCATTTCTCTCTCATTTTACACTAAACTAAAAAATCATTTTTATTTTTGTTTTTTATTTTTATTGCGCCAAACGGCGTTTTAAAAACGTTTTCATTTTTACTTTCTAAAAAAATGTAAAAAATAAAAATATGATTAATTCCAAACACGGCTTTTATCTTTTTAGTCCAAAGCTAAAATAATTTTAAGCAAGTAAAACATTATATTATTAATCTTGGTTTACCCAGGGACGTAGCTAATTAAGGACTAGTGGGAGATCAAGCTCCCTCTCAACTCTTTTTCCTCCTTTTTTTTTTTTTTTTTTTTAAACTTATATTTGTATAAGAATATCTCTAAAACAATTGACAAAGCCCCTTCTAAAAAATTAAGGATATTATTTTTTAACCCTTTAAATTTGTGCTGTAGTTATTAGCCTCCCTCATATAAATTTCCGGTTTCGTCACTGTATATTCCCTCCTTATTTCCTTCTATTGCCTAATAATAGGATAATCATTGTCATTCTTTTTTATCATACCAAATAAACAATTCTTCCATTCTTTTACACTCTCCATTCTTACACACCCTTTCATCGCTCTTACCAAACAGGCTTGAAAGCAAATTATCAAAGATAAAAACGCCATGTTATGCTAGTGATATCCTGCTTCATGTAATTAATTTGTTTCATTATTTAAGTCTAAAAAAATACGAAAGAATGAAATCTTAATTCTATTTCAAAAATTGTATTAACCTAACCAATTTTGAAATATTAAACTTTTTAAAAAAAATTTAAATATTAAAAATAAATAAACATATTATAAAAATTAAATTTAAATACGACAACTAATCTATATCAACATAAATCAAGAGTAAATATAGGAAACATGAACTTCAACTCTGATCCTCATCAACTAATATTAGCCCTTTTCCTCGGCAAAAAACTGTAACATAGCGACTTTTTAGTTCTTCTTCATTTAAAAGCATTAATATAACAACCTCTTGCTTTTTGAAGCAACTTAAACACGACTTATGTGCAAATAATCTGATATATTTATTTTTTTCGATATCAACCATGCATTTTCAAATTAAGAAGATTTTTCTTTTTGAGATGAAAATTGAGAAGATTTTTAAAAATAATAAAAGAGAATTTTCAACCGTGGGGGGAGAGAGATTATTTTCGTAATTGGGCTGGACCATCCGAGGCCACCAAACTTAAAGCTAGAGCCCAACCACTTAAACGGCGTCGTATCACGAAACTTGTTTCGCCTCCGGCTCCAATCCAGACAAAACAAAAACAAAGCGCTTTCCCCTCTCCCACTTCGTTCATTTGAAAAAAAAAAAAAAAAAATCTGAGAGAGCCTGCAGAATCAGAGAATTCCATCAATGGAGAACCCAAAAATTCAAGAGGTAATTTTCATCTCTCATTTTGATCCTACCAAATACAAAAATACTTGCATTCACAATCCTTTGTAACAAGCATTTTTAAAAATTTTTTTTTCCGGTGACGATTTGGTGGGGGGCGACGCAGATAGTGGAGAAGCAGGTCCTGACGGTGGTGAAGGCAGTGGAAGACAAGATCGACGAGGAGATCGCGGCGTTGGATCGGCTGGATTCCGACGACCTGGAGGCGTTGAGGGAGCGGCGCCTCCAGCAGATGAAGAAGATGGCGGAGAAGCGTAGTCGTTGGATCTCTCTCGGTCATGGCGAGTACTCCGAGATCCTCTCCGAGAAGGACTTCTTCTCCGTAGTCAAGGCCAGCGACCGCGTCGTCTGCCATTTTTACCGTGATAACTGGCCCTGCAAGGTATATATATCGCTATGGTTTTGCTGTTGATTAATTTTTGGATTTGTATTTCTGATTAGTGTAAAAATTGTGCATTGTAACATAAAGGACGAGAATTTGTTGTTGAAACTTGAAAGATTATTGTGTTTTTTTTTTTTTTTTTTTTTTTTTTTTTTTTTTTTTTTTCACTCTTAAAGTTTGGAATTCGGATTCTGGTTTCTAATCTTAGCGTGGCAATTTTGGCTGGTGGGAATTGTTATGGTGGAAAGTATGATTGATTTTTTTTTTTTTTGACAATTAGTTTTGGTTCTCGGGAGCTTAGTACGCGATACAAAGAATATAAGGAAAGTAAAGGTGCCCCTTTTAAGAGTACGAGTTAAAAACTTAAGTTTGGAATAATTCTTTGAGGTTGTTCTTTAATATGTTTGGAGGGCTAAGTTATCTAGAAAAAGAGCACAAGTTAGACCAGTTAACAATAATGTATTGTTCACTTGATTCTTGATCGTGTTCAATTTAATTATTTGGTGGTGCTACTACATCTGTCTCGTTGTGTAGCTGTTTTTCTATTTTTTGGTTTGATCCTCATTCGCTGTAGATGTGGGAATACTGTCTTCATTTTGTAAATTAGCTCGATTTCTGGAGGAACAATCAATGTTGACATTGAATTCCGGAGGAACAATCAATGCTTACAGTTGATTTGTAGGTGGTGGACAAGCACTTGAGTATATTGGCAAAGCAGCACATCGAGACCCGTTTTGTGAAGATCCATGCTGAGAAAAGCCCGTTCTTAGCCGAGAAGCTAAAGATTGTTGTTCTGCCTACCATTGCCCTAATCAAGAATTCCAAAGTGGATGATTATGTGGTATGCTATACGGAACTATTTAATAGTCACAGACCTGATTAACATTTGTGTTTCGCTGTTGATCTAACATTTAACCTATATATATCTTAATGTGGCTTAGGTGGGATTCGATGAGCTTGGTGGGACAGATGAATTCAGCACAGAGGATCTGGAGGAGAGATTGGCTAAAGCTCAAGTCATCTTCTTTGAGGGTGAATCGTCGCTAAATGCATCTAAATCCGGTGCGCATTCCAGAAGAAGTGTCCGTCAAAGCACAAATCCAGACTCATCAGATTCAGAGTAAAACTACATAATGGATTTATAAGCTATAAGGTATGGGTTCTGTTAATGGGGGAAAATGGAGGTGTTTCATCATCCCCCTCACCTATTCCAGGGCTAGTCTAGTTTGTGCTTGATAATGGTATATGACCTTGTACTAGCAGGATAGGTGTTTTTCATGTCTCTGGAATTTTTGATTGTCCTGATATATATATATATATATATATATTTTTTTTTTAGTCGACACACCCGTCGATTGGGGAATCACAATATATGCTGAGAATTATACTTTTATTGTTTTTATTACGAAGACCTATTTTGTAGTGCACATAGAATTAGTCATTCTTCAGATTATGCACTCATTTTCAATTTCCAAACATGCATTTACTGATATGCACCAGCTTAGAGTTTATATATCATGAAGCACGAATTTCAAGATATAACCAAGCTTTCACATTCTCGTAATTGTTGAACACCCATCGAATATTCTCAAAGAAAAAGAAAATATACTCTTTACCGTAAATGGTATAAATCTTGCCAGAAATGACATTGTGTAATCTTGTAGATGTCGTGTCAATCAGATCATTAGTAGACGCACATGTGTGTGTATTCAGGTTTTATACGCATATTATTGAAATCCAAAAACATAAAGTCAATCTTACAGAACTCCTACTGTTCTTCAGCATCAGAAAATGGGGAGTCAACTTTACTGCTCTTCCCTTCCACTAGCACACAACATGTAACACCTCAGAGCAACGCGCCTAAAAAGACGAAACGACACATAAAAAAATCTAAACATATAACAACTAACATACGATAAAAAGACACTTAAACGAAGAGCTAAAACCCATCAAAAGGAACCGCCAAACAACATTACATGCTGCTTGTCTTTTGGATTTTGGTTCTCTCATGCATTTCGTCTCGCATTCACTGCTTGCAACACCCTTCTACCGTACATATGACTCTGAAGTTGTCTTACATTGTCGTCAACGTGTTGTATAAACTGGTTGAGAAGTTGTCCCTCCTGACCAAGAAAAAAGGCCAAGTTGTAAGAGCTAAGTAAATTACAAACTAGAAAGAAGTCCAAAATTGAACAAGGCATAGATGGTGAAACTAACTAAATAAAATATGTTGTGTGATAATACTAGCAAAGAGATAAAACCTTACCCGAATAACCCTTATAGCAGACCGAACAACAAAATTTCCGCAATTATTTTGAGAAACTAGTAAGGGACGCTGGCCAGTATCTCGCTAATGACTAAATCAGCAACTTGTTCTTCTAATCCGGAATTTTTCAAGAGTTCCTCTACCACATTGCTGCCATATTTGTTCATGGATATACTAACGAACTTTCCTCTAAATTTCGCTTATTCACTTCGAGGTTCTTCATGCTTATTACAAACTGCACAATATAGTTCCTGGTGAAGGATACAACACAAGCGAAATGTCATCTACTAAAAACGAGTCCAAAATTAATTACAACCAATATGATCATCTGCTAACAATCTTAAATCTATTTCACATCACTCAGGTGCTAAAATTAATCACAACAGCACGTTTATGTAAGACCGAACAACAATCAAAATGCTAGTGTTAGAAAAACATTCAAGTGTAGATTTAACATACCCATTACAGTTTTCAGATAGAGTGTCAGCATTTTGTATTATAGCAGCCGCAAGCATGTTGAACATTTCGTCGTCAGCTGCATTAAAACATTTTTGCAATATACAACACCCACTTTTGCATTGTGCTATGTCGTGACAATATACTGCTATTGCACGCAGAAGAAGCTGCAAAGAAGGGGGAAAAAAAAGGTCAAACTATGTATGTTAACTGAACATTAATAAATTAGTAATTTTTGTAATTTTTTAAAAAAGAATTATGACATAGAAAGTAGGGCTAGAAACTAAATTGTAAGAACGTCAGAGATCATATTCTTAGTGTTCTCCATATTATTTATAGATCTTGGTAAAGACATGTAATATGATTGGGCAGAAAGTGCCATTAATTTTTGCTTTAAAAATTTCTTTCCTTAGGATTCCTCTATGTAAAGAAGATAAATTTCTGGATGCACTAGCATAACAATTCACAGCTCCAATACAGATTTCTAATTTGGAATAGAATATATACAAAAACTAAAATCACCACTGATCTTAGGCAATGTTAACTATTAATGTATGAACTCAAGGACCTATGGCATGTCTAAAGCTAATTAATTTGACATAAATATTACAAATTCTGATGGATTGAAAAAACATCTGTGTATATGTATGTGTGTGTGTCTATATATATGTAGATATATATGTATACGTTTTTTACCTTCTTGTGAGAAGGAGAGAAATTTATGAGGCATTGGGAAATCACAGCACTGCCATTAATACTCTTAGTCAACGACAAGGCAATTTGACTCATAACTGATGCGAAAAAAAATTGTTGCTCTTGGGTAGTTAAACGCCCAACCAATTTCTGCACCACGTTAGTTCTACAAAGTGAAAGAAAACATTATTATAAAGAATAATCTGAAATCAAGGCACAGTCAAATTATGGATAATCTCATATGATAATCTTATTCATATGATTAGAAAAAGAAAAAGAAAAAAGAAAAAAGAAAAAAGAAAGTATACCCATGGTCATGAGCACAGAGTTCTTCAAGTCGTAAGATATCTCTAGTTAAAAGATCAAGAATCTCGTCAAGTTTCTTGTCGTCCACGACATCAATGAGCTTCTGAACGACATGATACCCAATCGGGCGCACCATCAAAGACCACAAACTCTCTTTCATTCCGGAGAAAATCATGTCGATGTTCTCCGGGTTCTCGTGCCGAAGTTTGTCCTGTAAGAAACGACTCCCATGCTGGTTCATGGCCGCCGTTACAACATTTCCGCGTAGTTCATCAATCGGCGTGGAAGGCGAGAAACGCTGATATTGATGAGGACGAGCAAGATTATCATGATCATGATAACGACCGTATTGGGGAGAAGATATTTCTCTGCGCTGCAAACCAGAAGATGCAAGCCCGTTATTTTAATCCAAAGAAAAAAGGCAAATGTATCGAATTAGGTTGATAATTATCGTAATGATCATCAGGAGATTGGAAATTCGAAAAACGGTGGTGCAAATTATGATCATCATCATCGATTAAATTTTTCGGGAGATTCAAGATTCCGGAGAAGAATGTGAGTGAAAGCATACCGGACTTGCGTTAATGTTGATTCCGGTGGTAGCAGCGGCGAGCGGCGAATACGGCGGCGTCGCAGGAGAGTTGATTGTCGTGGTCGGCAGCGGCTCGGAGTTGAGAAATTGTGGCGGAGACGGATTCGACGATGAAGAAGCGTTCAAGAAAAGATTTGATCCCAATTCGTTCAACTCTTGTTGAAGCATTTGTGTCTCCATGTTCAACCGAGAAATCCTATCGCTGAGTTCAACCAAAAGATTTGGTTCCTTCACGATTGGAACTGATACCAGAAAATCCGCGATTATTCTGCTGTTGCATGTTGGTCTCCTTTTGGTCAGAGAGAATTTCGGAACGATTTAGAGTTTGTTTTTGGTGAAGACACTCCTTATTACACACACACACACACACACACACACACACACACACACACATATATACATATACAGATAGATAGATCATTTTAATTTCGTACTCTTAGTTACGGCGAAATCTCTTCTAATACCCCATGTCTTTGATAATTTCAAATTTTAAAAGATTAATTTTTAGTACCTTGAGACAGTTTTTGACACATAAATGTTTAATTTGTCCTTTTCAATAATTTCTGATTTGGCTGACTTGAATTTACTCTTTTATGGGTTTTAGAGGCAAAAATGATGTTTGGTCATAAGGGTATAAGGCTTTTAGAAAAAAACATTTAAAAAAGAGTAAATTCAGGCTAATCAAATAAAAAATTATTAAAAAAAGTAAAAAACACGGCGTACTAAATAATGATTTCACTATATACTAAATTGAAATTATTCTATGTGATAGCTCTTTGTTTCAAATTTTAATTTATTGTTATTTTTTTTGTTTTTTGAATTTCAAGGAGTACTCAAATATATCTCTCTTATTTTGATTGCCTAATAATGTTTATCACGCTTTTAAAATCTAAAAAGAGATTTAATTTTTTTTTTTTTTTTACAAGGAACGTGTTTTTTTTTTTAATTTCCTAAAAAAAGATATTGTTTTTGGTTTGTTTAATAATATATTCCTTCATCAAGAACAGGAAAACGACTAAACGATTTTTTGGTAACTTGCCCTTCTTGACATTGTCAACATTCCTTTTCGGTTTTTTTTTTTTTGGGTGTTAAAAGTGAATGTTGGTACAAATATGCATACTTGAATATAGTTACACAGAGGGAGAAAAGATTTGTTTCAATTCACAGCATAATAAATAAACTACAGTTAAGTAGCTTGCAAATTACATAGTTCATCAATACTAACAGCCACTACAAAAATTTACATCTTTAGAGAGGAAACTCTTAGAGACAACCATTTTCGTCTCAAATTAATCTGTTTTAGAGACAAAATTAAGTATTGTCTCCATATATATAAGAAAAGGATAAGGAAAAGGAGTGTTATTTACTCCTCACTCTAAATGGTATTAATCTTGCCAGAAATGATCTCACTGGTTTGATCTTGTTAGATGCTGTGCGTGTCAATCAGATCATTACGAGATGTGTGTGTGTATCCAGGTTTATAAGCATAATATGTTGAAATCCAAAACATAAAGACAAATGTTATAGAACTCAATACTGTGCTTCAGCATCACATAATGGGAAGATTAGAGTCAACTTTACTTACTGCTCTTCCCTTCCACTAGACACGGCCTATAACAAATGTGACAAAATATATATAACAAACACAACACGACACCTAAAGACGCCTAAACATATTATAATCAAACGTACTTGAAGAAGAGCTTAAATCCCAACAGAAGGAACAGCTAAACAACATAAAATGCTGTCTGTGTTTTGGATTTTGGTTCTCTCATCCATTTCGTCTCGCATTCACTGCTTGCAACACCCTGTTACCGTACATATGATTGTGAAGTTGTATTGCGTTGTCCTCAACGTGTTGTATAAACTGATTGAGAAGTTGTCCCTCCTGACCAAGAAAATAGCCAAGTTAAGTGCAAACTAGAAAGAAGTCCGAAATTGGACAAGGCATAGATGGTGAAACTAACTAAATGAAATATTTGTGTAGTAATACTAGCAAAGAGATGACCTTACCCTAATAACCCTTATAGCAGACTGAACAACAAAATTTCCGTAACGATCTTGAGAAACTAGTAAAGGACTATCGCTGGCCAGTATCTCACTAATGACTGAGTCTGCAGCTTCTTCTAATCCAGAATTCTTCATGAGATTCTCAACCACATTGCTGCCATATTTGTTCATGGATATACTAAAGAACTTTCCTGTAAATTTCGCTGCTATTTTTCTATTCACTTCTTGTTTCTTCATGCTTATTACGTGCTGCACAACATAGTTCCTGAAGAAAGATAGGGTGCGATACGGGTGAAAATATAATCTAAGTCCAAAAAATAATCAAATTGATAGTGTAAGAAAAAGATGTAAGTGCAAATATAACAGAAAGGGTGTAAGCTTTTTCTATTATGGGAGCCGCAAGCATGTCGAAGATTTCGCCGTCGGCTTCAACAAAACATTTTTGCAATATACAACACCCACTTTTGTCTTGTGCTATGTCGTGAGAATTTTGTGCTATTGCCTGCAGAAGAAGCTGCCAAAAAAAAAAAAAAAAGGTCAAACTGTTATGTTTATTGAGCATTAATTAATCAATCATATTTGAAAATAAACAGAAAAGAATCATGAGAGCAAGAAACGCTACAAATTAATTTGTAAGAACGTCAGCAATTAATGTCATCTTGCCACTGATTAATATAATATTATATATGTAGTTTTTTCCATATAAATTATTGATCTTGGCACAGATATGTTAATAAAATTGGTGGCAGAAGTTCCATTAATTTTTGCTTTTAAAATTTCTTTCTGTAGGATTGGCACTTCATAAACCTCTGGATCTTCCACTAACATAGCAATACACAGCTCCAATTATAGATTTATAATTACTTTGGTCTAAAACATAGATAAAAATTAGAATCACCGTTGATCTTAAAAAATATTAACTATTAATATATGAACTCTTGGACCTATGGTTTGTCTCCGGCTATATAATTTGACATAAATATTTAAAACTTCTGATGGGTTGAAAGTGTGTGTATGATAGAGTTTTACCTTCTTGTAAGGCCGAAAGAAATTTCGGAGACATTGGTAAATCACAGCATTGCCATTGGTGCTCCTAGTCAACGACAAAGCAATCCGACTCACAACAGATGCGAATAAATATTGATCATCTGGGGTACTTAGACGCCCCACCAATTTCTGCACCACCTTAGTTCTACAATTGGAAAAAAAAAAAAAGAGAATCATTATAAACCCTTATCTGAAATCAAGACTCAGTAAGATTATAGATAATACAAAACGATGATCATATTTATATCATTAAATAAAAAAAAAAGAGAGAAAGAGGGAGAGAGAAAGAGTATACCCGTGGTCATGAGTACAGAGTTGACTTAGCCGTGTGTCATCTTCAGTCAAAATTATATGAAGAATCTCATCAAGTTTATTGTCGTCCACGACATCAATGAGCTTCTGAACGACATGATTTCCAAACTGGTGCTCCATCAAAAACCACAGACTCCATTTCGTTTCGGAGAAAATCACGTCGATGTTCTGCGGGTTCCCGTGCCGAAGCTTGTCCTGCAAGAAACGACTCCCGTGCTGGTTCTGCGCCGCCATTACCACTTTCCCTCGTATTACATCAATCGGCGTGACAGGCGAGAAATTCTGATATTGATGACGACGAGGAAGATTATTATGATAATGATAACGACCATATTGATGATAATAATCAGCGTTGTACAATTGGGGAGAAGATATTTCTCTGCGCTGCAAACCGGACGGTCCAAACCCGTTATAGCCCAAAGAATAAGGCGCATTTATCGAATTAGGTTGATGATTATCATATTGATGATCATCAGGAGATTGGGAACTGGAAGACCGGTGGTGCAAGCTATGATCGTGAGACTGACTGTACTGGATCATCAGACCGTTATCATCATCGAATAAATTTCTCGGGAGATTCAGATAATTCCGGGGAGAGTGAGAGTGAGAGTATACAGGACTTTCGTTAATGTTGGTTCCGTTGGTAGCGGCGGCGAGCGGTGAATACGGCGGCGTTGCAGGAGAGTTGATTCTAGTGGTCGGCATCGGCTCGGAATTTGGAAATTGTGGCACAGACAGACTCAACGACGGAGAAGCGCTGAAGAAAATATTCCACAATTCGTTCAACTCTTGTTCAACCTGAAAAAGCATTTCGCTGAGCTTAATTAAACGACGCGGTTCCACTTGACGATTTCTGTTATTGAGTTCAGAATGTAAAGAAAATGCAAGATTATTCTGCTGTTCCATATTGCTAAAAAAAAAAAAAAAAAGAAAGAAATCTATTTTCGGCCAAAGAGCCCTCGGAACGATTCCGAGTTTTTTGTTTTTGGCTGAAGTACACTCGTTACCATATGTGTGTGTGTGTGTGTATATATGTATGTATATGTATATATATATATATATATTAGGATTTATATCACTGAGATTAATAATCCTATATAAAAGGAGAGAGAAGGATCGCTCTTTGTTTAAAATTTTAATTTTTTGTTTTGTTTTGTTTTGTTTTTTTGTTTTTTTTTTTTTTGTGTCAAATATTTATCTCTCTTGTTTTGTTTGCCTAATAATGCGTATCACGCTTTTAGAATTTAAAAAGAGATTTTTTTTTTTTATACAAGGAACGTTTTTTTTTTTTTTTTTTTTTTCTAATTTTCTAAAAAATAGGTTTTTTTATTTTTTTTTATTTTTAAATTTGCAATAATACTAATCCTTCGTCAAGAAGAGGAAAATGACTAGACGATTTTTGGTAACTTGCCTTTCTTCACGTTGTTAAGTTTCCTTTTTGGTTTTTCTTTTTTTGGTGTTAAAAGTGAATGTTAGTAGAAATATGCATCCTTGCATATATTACACCAAGGGGAGAGAAAAGATTTGATTCAAGTCATAGCATGATATAAATAAAGGATTATTATTATTGGCGTCATCAAAACTTTAGTGCCTTTTACATTATTGGTGTCTTCTAAATTTTAGTGTCATTTTCACTTTGTTCCCGAATTTTAAAAACTCACATTGCTCCATGAACTTTGAATTATTTCCACTTAACTTCTTATGTTGTAATTTATATTGAAAACACATAAAAAAAGGAAAGTAATGTAGTCATGTGGTTTTTCTATTTGAATTTCTATTAAAATCAAAGAGATAAAAATCTCATGAATACACGTATATCCCCTCTTTTTCTATCTGATTTTGATAGAAATTCTTACAAAGGCGCTTAAGGGAATAAATTTAAAAGTCGAGAGGCAAAGTGATAATTTTCAAAATTTAAAAGACAAAATAGAAATGACCCTAAAATTCAGGAGTATCAGTGAGATTAATCCACAGATAAACTACAGTTAATTAGCTTGCGAATTCAATTTCAATGGCTTTGCTTACTCAATAACGTTGATGAATTGACAATCTGCTTAGTTCACGGGTACTTCATTAAAACTATTTTTTCTACCTCGGATATAGAAAGGGTCTATAATACACAAACACATATATAATATTATATGCATATGTATTAGTTTAAAAAAGTAATAGCTAAACCTTAAATTAACTCAACTGATATCCAAACCTCATTTCAGATTACAAGTTTAAATCGCTCTTTTCAAAATTTTTATTCCAAACTTTTAAATTTCAAACCACAACATTCTAACTAATTTATGAAACATAACCCGATCAATTACCCTCTTTTCACGATTCTATTTTATCTACATTGCTAAGTCTAGTTGTCTTTTTCCATTTTATTGAAGAATGTGAAAAGTCTGTTTTTACTATCTGTACCTTAACTTCGGCATCAGACTTCAACTGTAACATCAATCTCAATTCATTCCTTCACATATATAATCCACAAGAACTCAAAATGCAGATACGTTTTCTTCTCTTCATTATTATATATATATATATATATATATATATATATGATGTACATTTTATTGATATGCACTAGCTTAAAGCTTTTTTTTTCAATGAACCGTGGGGAAAAATGTAAAATTTCAAGAGATAATCAATTAGCTAACACATCCTCGTAATTATTGTTGAACAACGACCTTTTCAACTTGAAGATTCTCGAAGAAAAAGTAAAGGAATATTTACTCTTTACCCTAAATGGTATTAATCTTGCCCGAAATGACTTTGGTTTGATCTTGTCAGACGCTGTACGTGTCAATCAGATCATTACGAGATGTGTGTGTGTGTATCCAGGTTTATAAGCATATAATGTTTAAATCCAAAACATATAAAGACAAATGATATAGAACTCAATAATGTGCTTCAGCATCACATAATAGAGTCAAGTTTACTTACTGCACTACACTTCCACTAGACGCGGCCTATAACTAATATGACATAAGACATAACACCTCAGAGGAAGTCACATAATTTATAACAAAAACCAGCAAGCCTAAAAAGACAAAACGGCACCTAAAGACGCCTAAACATATTACAATAAAACCTACTTGAAGAAGAGTTTAAATCCCAACAAAGGGAACAGCCAAACAACATCACATGCTGTTTATCTTTTGGATTTTGGTTCTCTCATCCATTTCGATTTCGTCTCGCATTCACTGCTTGCAACACCCTTTTACCGTACATATGATTCTCAAGTTGTCTTACATTGTCCTCAACGTGCTGTATAAACTGATCGAGAAGTTGTCCCTCCTGACCAAGAATAAAGCCAAGTTGTAAGAGCTAAGTAAATTACAAACTAGAAAGAAGTCCGAAATTGAACGAGGCATAGATGGTGAAACTAACTAAATAAAATATGTTGTGTGATAATACTAGCAAAGAGATATAACCTTACCCGAATAACCCTTATAGCAGACTGAACAACAAAATTTCCGTAATGATTTTGATAAACTAGCAAGGGACTATCGCTGGCCAGTATCTCGCTAATGACTGAATCAGCAGCTTCTAATCCAGAATTCTTCACGAGTTTCTCAACCACATTGCTGCCATATTTGTTCATGGATATACTAAAGAACTTTCCTGTAAATTTCGTTGCTATTTTTCTATTCACTTCTTGTTTCTTCATGCTTATTACGTGCTGCACAACATAGTTCCTGAAGAAAGATAGGATACGTTACGATACAAGTCAAAAAAATATAATCTATGTCCAAAAAATAAGAAACTGCTAGTATAAGAAAAAGATGGTAAGCGTAAATATAACATACCCATATAAATTTTCAGAAAGGGTGTAAGCATTTTCTATTATGGGAGCCGCAAGCATGTCGAAGAATTCTGTACCGTTGGCTTCATCAAAACATTTTTGCAATATGCAACACCCACTTTTGTCTTGTGCTATGTCGTGACAATTTGCTGCTATAGCACGCAGAAGAGGCTGCCAAAAAAAAAAAAAAAAGGTCAGACTTTTGTTTACCGAACATTGATAAATCAATAATATTTGAAAATAAAAATAAAAGAACCATGACATAGCAGGTAATGTAACAAATTAATTTGTAAGAACGTCAGAGGTTATATGAATGTGATCTTGGTACTGATTAACACAATAGTGTTTATGTTTTCCATATAAATTATAGATCTTTACAAAAACATGTTAATGACATTGGTGGCAGATGTGCCATTAATTTTTGCTCTTAAAATTTCTTTCCTTAGGATTGACACAGGATTGACACTCTAAAAGCCTCTGGCTTTTGCACTAACATAAGAATTCACAGCTCCGATTATAGATTTTAATTTGGCATAGAACATAGATGAAAACCGAAATTACCACTGATTTTGGGAAATATTAACTATTAATATATATATAGATGAACTCTTGGACCTATTATTTTTCTAATTAGCTACATAATTTGACATGCTTATTAAAAATTTCTGATGGGTTCAAAAAACATTGATATGTGTGTGTGTGAGTTTTACCTTCTTGTAAGGCCAAAAGAAATTTCTGAGACATTGGTAAATCACTGCACTGCCATTGGTACTCTTAGTCAACGACGAAGCAATTTGACTCGCAGCAGATGCAAACGAATATTGGTGATCTGGGGTACTTAGACGCCCCACAAAATTCTGCACCACCATAGTTCTACAAATTGGAAAAAAAAAATCATTATAAACCCTAATCTGAAATCAAGACACTACAAAACGATGATTATATTTATATCATTAAAAAAAAAGAAAAGAAAAGAGAGAGAGAGTATACCCGTGGTCATGAGCACAGACTTGACTTAGCCCTGTGTCATCGTTAGTCAAAATATCAAGAATCTCATCAAGTTTATTGTCGTCCACGACATCAATGAGCTTCTGAACGATATGATGCCCAAACTGGTGGGACATCAAAAACCACAAACTCTCTTTCGTTTCGGAGAAAATCACGTTGATGTTCTGCGGGTTCCCGTGCCGAAGCTTGTCCTGCAAGAAACGACTTCCGTGCTGGTTCTGCGCCGCCATTACCACTTTTCCTCGTATTACATCAATCGGCGTGGAACGCTGATATTGATGACGACGAGGAAGATTATCATAATCATGATAACGACCGTATTGATGATCATAACCAGCGTTGTACAACTGGGAATAATATGTTGGTCTACGTTGCAAACCAGACGATCCAAGCCCGTTATGATTATAACCCAAAGAATGAGGCGAATTTATCAGGATAGGTTGATGATTAAGGTAATGAACATTAGGAGATTGAGAATTCGGAAACCGGTGGTGCAAGCTATGATGATGAGACGGACTGTACTGGATCATCAGATCATTATCATCATCGAATAAATTACTCGGGAGATTCAGATCATTCCGAGAAGAATGAGAGTGATCGTAATAGTGTACCGGATTTTCGTTAATGTTGATTCCGTTGCTAGCGGCAGCGGACCGCGAATACGGCGGCGTCGCAGGCGAGTTGATTCTCGTGGTCGGCAGCGGCTCGGAGGCGAAAAATTGGAGCGGAGAAGGAGAAGCGCTCAAGGAAAGATTTCTCAATTTGTTCAACTGTTGTTGACGCCGTTCTTCCTCCATATTGTTCAGCCAAAAACTAAGTTCTCGCATGTTGTGGGCCATGGATTGATTATTCTGCTGTTTCACGTAGTTGATTGATTGCGAACCAAAAGAAGACTCTTTTTAGCAGAGAGACCTCGGAACGATTCAGAGTTTGCTACTGGTGTTATATACCAGGAGAGGAGGGAGGAGATCAGCTCTGGTGAGGTTAGGTTGTTTATCTTTTTTCTTTTTTTTTGAATTTTAACCACTCGTAGAATGTTTTATCACTCTTTTATATTTGCCTAATAATGTTTATCACGCTTTCAAAATCTAAAAAGAGATTTAAAATTTTTTTTTAAAAAATGGGGGGTTTTTTTTAATGTGTGATAATATATCACTCTTCGAACGAAAAAGGAAAACGACTAATGATTTTAGTAACTTGCACTTTTTGATATTGTCAACTTATAGACTTTTCTTTTTAGTTTTTCCTTTTGAGGTGTTAAAAGTGATCTTAATGCAATATGCATATTTGTCTGCAGTTACACAAAGGGGAGAGAAGAGATTTAATTCAAACCATATCGTAATAAATATGGTTAATTAGCTTGATAATGCCATAGTTCAATTTAATAGCTTCTTCTAATGTTACCTAATAACATTAACGATCTCCGTTTGGTTTATGGGTACTCCGTTAAACTAGCTAAACAAAAAAAAAAAAAACCTAATCTATAAAAACGGATAGATGTATAGGTATTATTTTCAAAAAGCAATAAGCCAATAACTAATCATAATTAAATTAACTCAAATTATAAACTTTCATAAAATAAAAAACAAATTCACATTCAAATTCCAGAGCTCATTGATTAATCCCAAATTGTATATTTCCCAAAGCGATAAATTACATAAATAAAAGAAAGTGATATTTTTGTGATTTTTTT